GTGTTCTTGTTGAAGGACTTATTGCTAGTACTGGTTGGTGTGAACTTGCTTATGTTTCAATAGGTTTTTTGAGTTATAAGATTTAATGCTTGGTGGATATCTCTTGTTGTATCAATGTTGAGGAGGAATATATGTGATTTCAAGGAACCCAGAAATAAATGAATTGGGAAAAAGATGAACCCATAGATACGAGAAAAAGTAGAACAAGTTCAATGTCTCTTAAATATTTTATCAATTCTTAATTAATTATTATTTACAAATATAATTGAATTGAAATTAAATTAAATGAAAAAATTTAATTATAAATGAATTAATATGAGGTGGAAATATAGTTATTCAAATAGAAAGTGACACATCATCAAAAGTTATTCCAATGTTAGTCAGCGGACATCATTAGAATAAGTGTCACATCATCAAAAGTTATTCCAATGTTGATTAGGGAACTAAAATCTAAAATAAAACTTAAAACAGGATCAAAATGCAACTTTTAAAATGGAGGGATTAAAACTAAAAAAAAATCAAAATATGAAGACAAAATTTGCAATTAAGCCAAAAAATTTATAACACGTTTCACGAGAGAACCTTTAAAAAAACTAGAGATATTTTTTATATAAAAAAAACTTACATTTATTTTTATAAATTATTAAAATAATTCATAATGGACTGATATCTTACCTTAATCACTTCACTCACTATTACATAAAGACTCTTTCATCATGGTTCAAAAAAGATATCATCACAATTGATCAACCGTGGTAAGGTACAGAGTGGTAGTAGCTGTGGTACTTTTCATCACGACCTAAGGTCTGTTGTGAAGAAAACTAGATAGCGCATTACATTTTACCACAGTTGGAAATTCTAACCGTGGTGATATGTAGTCAGACCACTTTTCACCATGGTTGGAACTTCAAACCGTGGTGAAATGCCAGCCGACCTACTTTTTACCACGGTTCACGGTTATAAGTTTCAACTATGGTAAAAAGTCAATCAACCCAACTTTTTATTTGTGTCACATGCTTTAGCTGATTATATTGAGAACTTTCATCATAATATAGAATATCAAACATTTCTAACAGAAGAACAAGAACAAGAACAAGAAAAATAACAACTACAACAAGAAAAATAACAACTACAACAAGAACAACAACAACACAATATCAATAGAATCATTAAACATTAAATCTCAACAACAATAACAACAACAACAAAATCAACACAATTTTTAAATATTAAATCTCAACAACAACAATAATAAAAATAACAAAAATAACAACAACAACAACAACAACAACAATAAAAACAACAACAACAATAACACCACCACCACCAACAACAACAACAACAAGAACAGCAGTAACAACAAGAACAACAACAACAATAACAACACCAACAACAGTAACATCACCAACAACAGCAACAACAACAACAACAACAATAACAACACCAACAACAACAGTAACAGCAACAACAACAACAACAACAACAACAACAACAACAACAACAACAACAACAACAACAACAACAACAACAACAACAACAACAACAACAATAATAATAACAACAACAACAAGAGCAACAGCAACATCAAGAACAACAACAACAACAACAACAACAACAACAACAACAACAATAGCAAGAACAACAACAGTAACAACAATAATAAAAACAACAGCAACACCACCACCAACAACAGCAATAACATCACCAATACCAACAATAGCAACAACAACAACAACAATAACAACAACAACAATTACAACAACACCAACACCACCACCACCAACAACAACAACAACAATAACAACAACAACAACAAAACCAACAACAACAACATCAACAACGACAACAACAACAACAGTAAAAATAACAACAACAACAACAATAACAACAACAATAACAACAACAACAACAATAACAACAACAACAGTAACAACAACAACAACAGTAGCAACAATAGTAACAACAACAACAACAAAAACAATAGTAACAACAACAACAATAATAACAGTAATCATAACAATAGTAACAACAACAACAACAAACAGTAACAACAACAACAACATCAACAACAATAACAACAACAACAACAACAATAACATCAACAACAACAACAATAACAACAACAACAACAAAAACATTGTTAAATATTAAATCTAAAAAACAACAATATTAAATATTTAACCTAACACATAACATTAACAACTAACATTGTAAACTTTAATCCATGTTTTCCTTACCTCGTTCAAGTTGGAGGAGAGATGATGGAGTTTTGAAACTTGTTAATGAAATAAATGATGTTTCTCTAGTTTCGTTTATGGAAGAAATGGTGTTTTCGAGTTTGGTTTAGCGGAAAATTAGAATTTCGTAAATGAGTGTAGTTTGGAGGTAGAAGACGAAGTCCGTCTAAGTTTTTCTAGGGTAAAACTGAACGACCATGGAGTATTATATATCTTGGAAATGTAATTTATTTTTAATTTAAAAATAAAAAATAGGAAAACACCACTTTTCACCACGGCTGGAATTTCAATTGTGGTGAAAAGTGACTTAAAAATAACTAAAAAAGAAAATTATTGGTGCTGAGATTTGAACTCATGATCAATTGAGTAGATTCTACCACAGTGGATAATTTTGGTGAGATAATAATTTGTTACGAAAGATATATTTTGTAGTAATGACCCCTTTAGATCTTGTGATTCAGGAATTATAAATAGAATGACCTAACTTAATCACTTCACCTCTCTGACTTTGTGTTTGAGGGATGGATTGGAATAACTTTTGTTAGGTCCAGAAAATATGACTCATAGACTCTCCAACTTGTAAATAACATGGAGGATACTTGAGTGCTAAAGGACAGGATCAGGTGACGAGTATGTGGTCCAACCTGGCCCAATATTCTTTCGTTATAACTCATGGGAGAAAGTGTCAAGACACATGTTAGGTGAATAATTAAAAGATCACAAGTCTCATAGGTAACTGCGACTCCAATTTTTAAAGGATGACCGATAACTGACCTCACTAATTCCCATTATTTGATTGGATATAACAGTGTGTGGCTGAGTTCACTGACATCAAAACCAGTATTTTCGATGACTCCTTTATTAAGTAACCGCGTATGTAAATGCCCCCATCTAAACAATTATGCAATTTATACATTTATTTTATTAATCAAAATAAAATAAACTCTATTGTGTATCTCACTCACTACCGATAGATAAGATTTATATTATTGTATTTTTTTTATAACAATAAATTTAAATTAACTATATATATATATATATATATATATATATATATATATATATATATATATATATATATATATATATATATATATATATATATATATATATATATATATATATATATATATATATATATTTAATTTAAATTTATTGTTATAAAAAAAGTTGCAGAGTTATGACCTATTTTTTTAATAAGAATTATTTATCCAAATAGACCATATATTTAAATTATAAGATGATATCAAATCTAAGATGATTTTGCTCATAGTGATGTTAAGAATATCTTATCTTACGACATCAAAGAGCTAGTTTTGGTGTTAAATAAGTTATTGTTTGACACTTTCATTAACCAACTTAATTAATAAGTCATTTCAACATAGTGAAGAGCTAATTAAGACCATGGTCAACTAAACATGCTATTACTATGAAAGATATATAAATCCATATATTATTTTAGACTTAAAAATCATACCTTCATGCAAAGATTTGTGGGACAAATAATTAAGAATTTTAATAAGTGGGCCTTTCAATAGGCTACCTTTTTCTTGATTTTGTATTATGATGTAGGGTTGTTTCTAATCTACGCAAGCCAGGGAAGACTCGTTTACAACATTTAATTCTTAAATATAGTTAAATGTTATAACTGCTCCCTTTGAAAATCATGAAACAAACAAAGAGCTTTCAATGTAATTGGTTCATTATTTTGCATTAAAATGCATGTGCTAAATGACATGATAGGATAAGTACTTTCAAAGTTTACAACATTAGACAAAACTGTGCTTTTTTTTTCACCAATGTTTTAGTCATCTAGAACTAATTGTGTTGTGTTCATAATTTGATGCAATAATTGGCTCATTAAGTTTTTTATATTGTTGATCTAAAACTAATGCTAATATAGATATCTTCTTTTAACTTCTTAAATATAGTAAGTTATTGTGCACATTACTATGATAAGAAAAATAACACATTTTCTAACTGTCACTTCAACTAGGAAAATGACTGCTATAAAAATTCAAACTACATTTTGTAAAGCTTAAAATAATTATTAAAAAAACAAGTCAATTAGTATCTCTATTTTGATGAATTTACAATTTAACTTTTTTTTTTTTTTAGATATTTAGCTGATACAATCGTTATAACATATTTATTATTTATAGTCTGTGTAAAATTTATATGGTGATAAACAGTCCGTTTTGTTTAGGTTTTCTTTGCAAAAGCCTACAAGAAAACGGAGAGGGGCGGGGGCATAAGAGGTTGGTTCCGCCGTGTGAGAAAATGAAGGCATAGCGAAGTGGATATTATACTTTTTTAACATAAAAATTGTAGAAGTTTATGTTAATGTGTCGGTTAAAAAAAGTCAACAAGAAACATGACGGATATATTAGAGAGTACGGAGCAAAAATTAACTCGTCCTGCAAAAAAAATCAGGAAAAACAGACATGTTCAGAGAATCGGATCCATTTTATCACCCTAATTATTATCGAATAACTATGTAACTTGTAACTGTTGAAATATATTATATAAACCTAATTTCGGACATTTTAAAATCTAAACATAAATGAAAAAGGAAGAATTATTTTTCATAAAAAAGACCTCTACAAAATGTTCTTTTACATCTCTCAATGATCAAGTAAGTGTCTTTAAAAGGCTTGCCACAATTTTCATTCTATCCTACGCTCTCTACTCTCTTCTCTCCCCTTAGCTACATTTCATTTCCCTACCTTAACCAACACAAATTTTCTCACCATTTTCCTAACCATGTCCACCTCTAGAACCTCATCAAACACTTCCCTCAAAGGCCATGATCATCATCACGACCAAACTCAAATAAATCTCTCTCTTCTTCAACGGAACACGTCGGTTTACGGCGATAAAAGAGGAAGAAGAAAACAAGTAGAACCAGATAGGTTTCTTGGTGTAAGGAGAAGACCATGGGGTAGATACGCAGCTGAAATCAGAGATCCTAATACTAAAGAAAGACATTGGTTAGGAACATTTGATACTGCTCAAGAAGCTGCTTTTGCTTATGATAGAGCTGCTCTTTCCATCAAAGGTAGCAATGCTAAAACAAATTTCATATATTCAACTTCTTCTCAATCTGATGAAACCAATCTTCACAATGTTGTTACTCCCTTAGATCCTCAAAAAATACAAGCAATTACCAATCAAACTAGCCTCTCTCAGCTTGATGATGATTCTCATTTGAACAATGAAAACTTGTTCTTCTCTAATGATTCTACTAACTCGGGCTACCTCGAATGCATTGTTCCGGTTAACTGTTTCAAACCTATTTCAAACACCAACAATTCAAACTTTGATCATAAAAGTAATGCAAGTGGTTCAAGTGAACATCACCAAAATGTTGTTGATTCCATCAGTGCAACAAATTTCATGCAGGGTCAATCATTTTATGACTACAATGCATTCTCTCAAGAAGCATTAAACATTGACACAAGTGAAAGTAGCGAAGGATTATGGGATTGCAATTACAATGAACTATCGGCTATTTTTAACACACCATTGAGTAATGAAAGTCCAAACTATGAACTAATGACAACTCATGATGTTTCTTCAACCAGCTATTATCCATCATGTTCTTCTTTCGGCGATGTTGACATGGAATACTCGCTCTTCTAAGGACCCTGACAAGGGTTCTGGAAACTGTTAGATTTTTTTGAGCTCTCTTTATTGAAGTAGCTTTAATTTTGAAGAAGGGTGTGTTAGAGTTTGTTTTTTGAGTATATGTGCAATCAATCATTTGCATGCACTTAGTACGTCGTTACGTTGGTCTAATATCTATAAGAAATAGGAAGTTTTTTTTTTCTTTCTTCTAAAGTTATTATTGAATGAATGAGTGAATTAGGTCTTTTGAGGTGGTTATAAAATGTTGAAAAAAAGGCAGGTGTGACCATTACTAGACTGCTACTAGTTATGTCTTTCACGCAAAGGAAATTCATATTTATTTAACCATGTTATATGATTGTCTCTACTATTGTTATTATACTTGATATATAAATGATTATGTATATTTTTGTAAAGCGACCCTCCACCATAGTATCTTTATATATAGATACATGAGCATGCGCAAGGAAGAAAACATGTTGATAGCATTTTTTATAAAACTTTTATATTAATTTTCCAAATTCATCAAAAAATAAAATCTCTTTTAATAATACTCTCCAACCCTCAAAATCTCTCCCCTCCTAATTTCTAAACAAGACTTTACATATTTGATTGTCCAAAGGGGGGAGAGGTGATAACAAATTAAAATGGCATCCAAAAAAAAATTATCAGATCAAACATCAAATATTAATCGGGTATAAAAAATTAAAATCGCATCCAAAAATGTTAGATGATCTAACATCAAAGCTTGATCAGATAAGAAAATCCAATGAAAAAGATGAATAAAAAGGTTGTTACATACTAAAATGTGTTTCTTCATGTTTGTGTTCCAGAATAAATTCAAATACCAAGTCAATCAAACTTTTGATTGTCACAACAACAAAGTGTATCAAAAATTACAAACCATATAAGATAACAATGTGAAGCCTCGTTGCAGTCTCCCGATTATTTCTCTTCACAGTAAACCCTATAGATACAAGCTGGGAAGTATTGATTAGGACTTCCAAAACAGAAATGGAAAATTGTTACCTAATTCAAAAAAAAAGGTTCAGGTGAAGAGGCGGAACACACGGTCAATGAAAGTCTGGACAGAATGTTCTCGTGTGAAAGAAGATTGAAGCATAAATAAGCACAACAGACTCCAAAAATTGGAGATGTGGATGGACATGTGCACAATGGAAATGGAATTGCAGATTCTTTAGGAGTTATTCTAAAGCAAGGCAGTTGTATGGGTTGCTAAAATTTTCATGGTTGGCCATGGTTTATTCAAGATCAAAGGAATGGCCACAATAAAGATTTATGAACATAAAGATAATCAGTGTGAAGTGTGCTAGATCTGAATATGGAACTGGGGTATAACTGGGAGGGAGAACAAAAAAAACCTATTTGAGAACCTCCTTGAATAATGATATCTGGTTGAAGAATTGAGATTAAAAAAAAAGAGTAATGATGATGTATGCATTCACATTTCTTAACTTGTGGTGTGTGAGACATTACTACTTGTCGTATTCGCAGCTGGTAAAGGACTAGAACTCCGTGTGCTGGATTGAGAAACAGGGCCACCAGTTGACAAATTCAAGCCAACTGATCCAGTCGTAGTGCTCGCTGATGAAGATATTCTGGATGGAACAGACTCTCTGCTGGATCCTGCGGCAAGTTCCGGCTGCAATTCTGATGAAGAAGATGAAGGAACAAGAGTACCAACAGATGAACCCGCAAAGTGCGGTGCAACTGGCACATCAGTCAGGGAAGAAGCAGATGGACTGTAACTCAGTGATGCAACAGGATGATCAAATTTGCATGTGGGACCAAATTTGCATATGCCACGCTGTGTGTAATGAGTGCAAGGTGCTGCCCCCTGATTAAAAAACACAAACATTGGATATTGGAAGTAAGAACGCAGACAAATAATAGTTTGGAAAAACGTTTCATTTGAACATATTTTACATTTCCAAGTGCAAGTCCTTTAAACAGATAAAGTGACAACTGACAAAATTGTAAAATATATTAAGATACTTTCCTTTTGTCAGATCCAAATGCATGAAGAAAGAAAGTAATAACAGCTGAGTGGACCATATAAAACAGACTTATCTTGTTTCAAAATAACCATCATATTCAAGAGAATCGGGAAGGACTCGGAATCTGTCTATAATATGGAAAACTGGAAGCATGCCTAATCTAAAATTACAGGAAGGACATACAGAAACTTTAGCCATAGCCAGCACAGGAACATAGGATTCAGAGATTAAACAGATGATAGAGCATAAGAGCAACTACCTCTTAACAAAGAAACATGCAACAAAAGGTGTTTCCTAGCACTGACAAGAGATTTCAAGCATATGCAACTGACGAGCAAGCAACTCCGGCCGCACAAACCCAAATTACACATAATTATTGCATAAATATTTCATATTTAACCTAAATGGCACTCCGTTATAGAAATCAAATTTCATGCATATGAAAAAGTAGAGAATATGTAATACTGAAAATGCCAAAATCTTGAGATTAACAGGGAACTAAAAAAAAGTAAATGGAAATTATGTTGGATATCACATAAGAGAGTCTAGATCAAGTAGGGAAAAAGGGATGCCATGGAAGATTCATAAGATGAAATAAATTAGGGTGCAATAAATGAAACATTGAGGAAAAAAGACCTGGAAGGCATACCCTACAAACTGTTAAGACACTTCCTTCACAGAAATCGAGCAACTGATTATTAGAAAGACCATTTGTAAAAAGCAATACAAGAGATATTTTCTAAATGGTTTTACTAATATTTTGGTTGAGACCATTGGGGAAAATGCCTTATGGAAGACCTTTTTTTCAAATGGTTTTACTGGCAATATGGTTTTGACTAAGCCCATTAACATTATTTGATCCATGCACCAGAGATCACCTAGTGGGATAAGCCTTACTTGCTGGGTGACTAGTTTCCAGAAAATATTAGTAAAAATAATAATCTTAGGACTTCATATAGGGAATCTTAGCTTCTTCAACCAAGTTCTTAAGAGTTGAATCAATAAAAGTATAAAACCAACTCGTATACAATAGCAAAGTGTCCACGCTTACTACGTGAAGTTGGACACAGTGCCATATCCTTAAAAAATTAAAATTATGGAGGCTAATAATAGCCTACAAAGTTATTCTATTAGAATTGTATTATAGAATACTTAATCTCATGACAAAGAAAAACCTAAAATATTTATCCTCTTACAAATACCACCTGAAAGGTTACCCCAAACAACCATTAAGTTGTATGCAGGACTAATTCTAGGCATAGGAAAACCCTAATTTGATTAGTTCTTCCACGGATATCAGTTTTAATCCCTGTCATTCATGATAACCGTTCTTGAGCTCAATATGATTGCCAAAAGCAACTCTCAGGAATTCAGTCGTATACAAGCCCCAATAGTAATTCTTATAAGGATAATAACAAAAAAAAAATACTTCAATTCCATATGAAGGGGCTATCTTATTTGTCGATCCAATTATCCCAACAATATACTAATTTCTTGAGTGGTATGTCTAACAAACCAAACTAACTAAAGGATGCATTAAAGCCAATATAAGGATTGGATGAACTGAAGAGAGAGATTGCCAAACATCTCTTTTCATCTCTAATGAGTAATGACTTCTCAAAGGATACAGTTTATCAACCCAAAAAGGGGTGAAATTGAAGTTAAGAAAATTTCACTATGCAACAAACTGATAAAAGTACAAACAAAATCAGAATTGCAATCATCTATTTCCCTCTCATCTTTCACACAAATATGATCAGTATAGTGTATAATACCTTTTAAGGTTGTCGGGTATGTAACTTAATTTATTAATAGCTATATAATATTTCCTTGGTATCATTTTAAGGAGCATGATACCCCATAATACTATATGAAAAGCATAATAGGTAACATGAAATCATTACCTGGTAATTAATAACATGTTTACATACAGGAAGGGGGTGGAGCCAGGATTAGATAGCTGCATATACGTACTTTTAAAAGAAAAATATCTCGAGGAATGTTAAATAAAACATCCATATACCAAAAAAAATTTCATATACCAAAATATTCAATTTACCAAAACAGAACTCCATGTATATGGGAAAGAAGTACATGCAGGCTGTGAAAATGAAAACATGAAATGCAAAAACTCACTATTGGAAGCAGATATAACTATAATGTGCGGGACTCAAGAAATACCTTAAAGATTAGATATGGGGAAAAAAAATACCCTTTCATGGTCAATATATTAATATCGGAATTCCCTAGTAATTTGGGGAGAAAAAATACCCTTCATGGTTAATACATTAATTTAATATGGTCAGTATGTTAATACCATACCCAATCATGGATATAAACGGTGGGTGGCCCGTGGCCTGATCAATAGGCTTTGATATAAACTCATCCCTACAAAACTGGCTTGTAAGATGAACGGTGTCACTCTGGATAAACTTTTTCCAGGCTCTATCTGCAACCAATATGGGACTTGTGATTTTCCCAATAATCATAGAAACATTGTGTTCAAATACAACAGATTGTGATAACCCCCCATCACAATTTTTTTTATGTTAGCATTATCTACATAGTTAAAAGTGTGCAATAATCTTTAGTATACTAAAATTTTTTGAATAGGATCTTACAAACAGAACTTACCCTGAGTACAGTCATAATGCATCCGACAAAAACATTTAACAAAATACACACATCAATAAAGGAATGAGATGAACGCCAAGTTCGCTACAAGAATTTCGAATAGACTGCAGAATTATAATTCAAATATTTTCCAACTTTGATTAAAACACTTGTCCACAGGGCATTTATGACAATTCATCAAATGATCATTCAACTAATATTAAAGGCTGTTCAGATGTGAAATAACCTAAAATGAACATGAAGCATAATAAAAAAGACAAAAGCCCAATATTTTAGAAATTTTTAAACATAAGAATAACCAAAGCACGTGCATTTGGAAGGAAGGAACAGTGGCTCCAACTATGATTTGTTTTCAATGATGAA